AAAACTTGTTAAAACTTTTAAAAGCGTCCTACAAACTTATTGTATCATTGTAGATATAATGCTTTATAGTTTAATCCTATAAATTTAACTAATATAAAACATGTTATTATAACGTTTTTAAGCTACTAAAAACCCAATTTTCTTGTAACGATTTCTCATAATATTGGCATTACCTAATCAATTACAAAATATAAATTCATGACCAATTGTCAAAAAGTTCATGTTTTTTCATATATCATTTTTAATAATTGATGTAATAACTGTTATAAATTTTCTCATTTGGTAGGTAAGAGAAAAGTCTAAAAAAACCCAATGGACTTAACTGTTTGAAATGATTAAGTCCTTAGACAATTTTTTGAAACAAATAAGTCATTGGACAATGCAAAACTTGTTAAACAACTCATTGGACTTTCTAAAACCTATTATATACATCTTATCACCTAAAAAACTAATTAATGTAGTAAGATAATGGAATAAATATGAAAAAAAAAAAAGCAAATGAACATTCATATTTTGAGCGATAAAGTCTCTAAACACTTTTTAAATCAAAAAATTAGTTACATTATATAAAATAAAATAAATATACACAAAAAGTACTTACATTTAAAAAAGATTATTGATGAAATTTATTTTAATTAAAAATAAGAATTATTTATATGTGGTTTTTTCAAATAAAAAAATAAAAAAAGATCTAAAAATGTTTACTAATTAAATTCATTTTAATTAAAAATATTCCGTTGATTTTTCAAATTAAAAAAATAGAAAATAATCTGATTAACGATAAAATTTTACTAAATACATTAATTAAAATTTGTCGCTATTATCAAAACGTCATCGAAAACATGGATAAAACTCAATATTCAAAACCACATTTTTAGGTGACGAGAGAGACTTGTTCCCGTTGAATGTGACATAATATAAAAGTAAGCCACGTATCTATGTTAATGAGCCTCATTACGGATCAATAGTCAGCAAGTTCAACCAACTACAACCTATACCTTGTTAGGGACCCCCAATGATCTTAGATATGTTTGTTCACTATAATACACACCATATGGTCAATGGTCGTGGTCTGACTCTATAAGCTTGCATCACGATGCCCCCCGATAACCTAATGCGTATTTCTAGCTACAATACGGGAATAACTTTCTCAATTTTAACCATCAAACGGCTCAGAAATTACACCATATGGTCAATAATCAATGTCCAACTCCAAGAGCCCGCACCGTAATTCCCCGATGATCCAATGCCTATTTATGGCCACAACGTATATGGATCAATTGCATTATAGTCTAAATTACATGACTCTCAATCGAATGACCATCCACTCAAAGCATGTAAGTTTTCAAATAAATATGTCATAACTGCATATAACTCCCAAAGCTCGATATAGAGCAAGTTAAACTGAGCAACTATTCCCAAGACTCATCTGAGTCAAAACCGAGCCAAATACTCAATGATTGATCATAAACCAATAAAATGAAAATACTTAGCGTTTAAGTAACTTATACATCAAAAGATTTGAAAATCTACACCATGGACTCAAAAGTCAGGCAAAATCCCAGAATAAGTAATTATATTAAATCCAAGTCATTAAGCTATTCTACTTGCTGGACTAATCCAAAATGTTTTATCATAAAATCCAAAATGGATTTAAAGGGTTTAATAGATATCATGACGTGATATACCACAAAACCCAACAAAACTAAATCATGCATATTATTGAATTATTTATAAAATCGATATACTAAAATACATTAACATCAAATAATCCTCATATGACAAATAAATCATCAAAATCCTCAAAGTTTATGACTTAATATCAAATATCCAAAACCCCCGAGTATATGTACTTCTTAAGAATAATAAAATCGAATGTACCAAAGATGTAGATCTCCTCAGATGGTCGACACATTTGATAAATATCAATAAAACATCTTAAGACTCCAAAATAAACATATTTGACATGTACAAAGTTTTCACAAAGTAACTTGAACTCACCTTGCTAGGTTAAGTTAGACCTAGCTTCCATTGGTGAAGGTTTTAGATCCCCTAGCTAATCTTCCAGATCTCTGATGCAAAGTTCTCAAGAACACTTCACCTACTCCTAATCTCAACAAATATACAATCAAATAAGAAATGAGGTTTGATGATGCAAAGTGTACAAACCTAGGTAAAAAATGGAGATCTAAAACTTACGTTTGACCATTTGGAGCTCCATAATCACCAACAGATTTAACCCTCTTCGATATCTCTTTGAAAAGCTTCAAAAATCGAAGCCACATCCTCCAAATCACCCCAAATGGATGAGGAATGAGAAAGTTATGACCAAATGAAGATAAATCCCGAAAAATCGCATTTTAAGCTGAACTGGTGCTCCACACAACCTTTCCCGCGAGTCCGCAACCAGAGTTGCGTGGCAAGTTGCCCGATAACCTCATAGTGCCAAATAGGGTACCATGCGACCTAGGCAGCGGCTCAGATCGCGAGCCAGGTCGCGCCAAACCCCATTTTTGTGCGATTTCCATTCTTCGAGCTCGGTTCAAATCCCACGCTTTCCAAAGCCATTAATTCATGAAACCTTATCAAACCTCTATTTTATATGACAAGCGATGAGGTTATTAATCACAATGGAAAACCCGAAATTGCGAGTTTGCATCGCTCCTATTAAACAAGGTTATTTGGTTGTGGCTAATACACCCCAAGGATTACCTAATGAATTCAACATATTCAACAACTAGATATGTTTATCAATGAACATTCTGCATAAATTGTATAAAGGACAAGAGATGATTAAGATGAGAAGATTACACACACATTATATATATATATATATATATATATAGGTTTGTGTTTGTAACTGATTTGGATAAAAACTTAAAAATAGATTTTATCCAAATTAGAAACCATGAAAAAACCTGTTAAAAACAATAAAAAAACTCCAAACAATGAGCGAAGTGACTTTTCAGGAGGGTTAAGTCGCACAGAAAGTCGCGTGAGACACTGTTCTCGTGCAAACATTCTAGAAACCCACATGACTCAGTTATCCTTTCTACGTGGGATAAAATCTCACTATGAAGACTATATATACTACACAATTAACCTCGATGTGCAGATTTCAGATCTTGGTTATGACTCAGTTAACAGTAAACTTCTATATAAATTTGCATCTAACTGATTCCACAACTCGATAAAAATGAATACTTATTTTTGAATTAATTTGTTAGGAATTATTTGAAATAATTTTTATTTTAAAATTTTATCGATAACCTCCTTTTCAATTTCTCATATCAATTTGGGTTTGGATGTTTTTTTGGCCCAATTAGGTAAGAATTTGGGCCATTAATGGGCCGGAAATGGGTAAAAGTTTCCACTTTCATACACTATTAAATTTTCCATTTTTTTAAATTATAGATTTAAATTATTTTCTGATCAAAAAATTATACTGAAACATCTTATGATATGCAAAAGTGTGAATTTGTATGAATAGCACGAACCTCGCATCCAGGGCTACAAACGAACCGAACGAACATGAACAGATACTTGTTCATGTTCGTTCGTTTAACTTAACCGAACAAACGAACGAACGAACACGAACGGTAAACGAACGAAAATCTTTGTGTTCGTGTTCGTTCGTTTAGAAATCAGGTGTGTTCGTGTTCGTTCGTTAACATGTTAAACGAACGTAAATGAACGAAATTAACGAACGGGCTAAACGAACATAAATAAATATTATTTGAATTCAAAGTAAATAAATAAAAGATTATATATTAAATTTAATGTATAAACGAACGAATATAAACAAACGTAAACGAACGGTAAATGAACGAACGAGACTCTTGTTCATGTTCGTTCGTTTAACTAAACGAACAAAAAAAAATTGTTCATGTTCGTTCATTTATTAAATAAACGAACATAAACGAACTTCCCACCGAACGATTCGTTGAACGTTCGGTTCGTTTACAACCCTACTCACATCACATTTAGTTAGTTAAAGCTTATATGTTACTTGTTCGCTCATAAACCTATACGAACATCCAATATGTGTTCTGAGTATTTGTATCATATGCATAACACGAGTATACAAATAACTTGATTCCTTCAATCTGATCGCAATCCATTATGGGTCAATCCTTGGGTTAACGTGACCTGGAGCTCGAGTATGTCTTTGTGATCTAAAACTTACCACTCCTGATTGGTGACGTGTATCATAAGTGATTTGACCACTAACCTTATGAATTTCCTCGTCTAAGAGACCTTAGGTCCTCAGCAGTAGGTTGCATTCAATCTCGCATACGTCAGCAGTAGGCTAGTTCGTACACATTCAAGTTTTCACTTAATTACATCAAGTGGGTTGTTACAAAAAAAAAACACTATTTGGGAAAATAAGTTGATTACCAGCAATCCTAATCGGTCCTACACAGAATCCGCCTCCAAGAAAACAAATGTGAGAGGACATTTTTTTTGGCTTACTCAACGACTGAGGCTAGTCCGAGGGAGGGGGGATCGAACCCGAGACATATCTTGTATTTGAGCAAAAGTCACTCTGATTCTTTGCCAACTGAGGTACACATCAGAGACATTAAACAACTTGTGATTTTTTACAAAAGTCTTTATCAACTTACTATAAGTTGGAATGATTTAACTTCTGTAAAAACTCTTTATTACTGGTTTAGCACCGGTATAAACTGTTTATCCAAACATTCAAAAGTGCTTATCATTAATGCCACATCGAAATAAACCAATAAGTTGTTTTTATAAGTAATCCCAAACACCCAATAAACAAAGTTGTGGGCCGAGCACAAAGTGATTTTAGTAAAAAAATTAGAAGTATAAGGACTAAATTAAAAGCACAAAGTGAGAGGATTATTATGAATATATCTCAAAACTATGAGGACTAAAATGAAAATTATTTTTAAAATAAAATTAAAAACCAAAAGCCCTCAATTTCTCTGAAACCTTACACACACCTCCCTCCTCCTTCTCTATCGCCGTTCATCGCCATCCATGGAAGACGACCGTCGTGTCGGAGATCTTGTCCGGGAATTAGTCCACCGTCTACACAACAACTCTTCTTCTTCGCTTTCAAACTCAAACCCTAACCCTACCAATGTCAAGTACGCCACTCGCATTTTATCCAGCCGAATGACGCCATCGATCACCGCCGACGAAGCCGCTATGGCGTATTCAATCAAGAACCAACTCGTTAAACAAGGTAAATTGTCTGATGCCTTATCGTTTGCAGATCTCTATTCTAAATTCGCTTCTAAAATTGGCCCTGGTAGTGTTAACAATAAGTGGGCCGTGCTTTATTTGCTCAAAGTCATTTCCGAAGATCGTAGAACTAATCTTAAACTTCAAACGGATTCGAGCTATTCGGGTGGACTCCCGACGTTGTTTGAGTCTGAAACTAATGGAAATCATACTAGGGTTACGAAGGATAGTTCCGGGTTCTCTCGTTTAGGGCGAAATTTAGATCATGATGGGAGTGATGATGCTTTTCCTAATGATAATGTAAATGGTCTGCGTAATAGTAATTCGGAAAAGTTGAAGAATGGTGGTGTTTTATTGGTTTCGAGAGATCCTGAGAATATGCAAGATATGGCTTATAGGGAGTTTGCTGTGATAGTGAAAGAAGAGAATGATGTTATAGAGGAGGTTCTGGTGAGAGATGTGTTGTATGCTTGCCAAGGAATTGATGGGAAGTATGTGAAATTTGATGAAAGTGTGGATGGGTATCTATTGCCGGATTCGATTAGGGTTCCAAAGCCTACTAGAATTATGATTCGTAAGCTATGTGAGCTTGGCTGGTTGTTTAGAAAGGTAAAAGGGTATGTTACTGAGAGCATGAATAAGTTTCATGATGAGGATGTTGGGACTGTAGCTCAAGCATTTTGTGCAGCATTGCAAGATGAGCTTTCTGAGTACTATAAGTTGCTGGCTGTACTTCAATCACAATCAATGAATCCAATTCCTTTGGTTTCAGAGAATGCAAGCTCAGGGAGCTATCTATCTCTAAGGAGACTTTCGGTCTGGTTTGTTGAGCCAATGGTTAAGATGCGGCTAATGGCTTTGCTTGTGGATGGTTGCAAGTCTCTAAAGGGTGGTGCGATGGCTGGAGCCATTCACATGCATGCCCAACATGGTGACCCTCTTCTTCATGATTTCATGAAACGATTGCTTCGCCGAGTATGTTCTCCTCTTTTTGAGATGGTGAGGAGTTGGGTTTTGGAAGGGGAGCTTGAAGATATCTTTTCCGAGTTTTTTGTTTTGGGACAATCTGTAAAGGCAGAGTCTTTGTGGAGGGAAGGTTATAGACTCCATTCTGCAATGCTCCCTTCTTTTATCTCCCCATCTCTTGCTCGGCGTATACTAAGAACAGGGAAGTCCATTAATTTCCTTAGAGTTTGTTGTGGTGATCGTAGTTGGGCTGATGCAGCAACTGAAGCCGCGGCTGCCACAGGGACCACAACTAGGAGAGGGGGTCTTGGGTATGGGGAAACTGATGCACTTGAGTCTTTAGTCACTGAAGCAGCAAAGAGAATTGATAAGCATTTAATGGATGTTGTTTACAATCGGTATAGGTTCAAGGAACATTGTCTTGCTATCAAGCGATATCTCCTTTTAGGACAAGGTGATTTTGTTCAGTATCTAATGGATATTGTTGGGCCAGAGCTCTCGGAGCCTGCTAATACTATCAGCTCGTTCAAGCTTGCAGGGTTATTAGAGAGTGCAATCCGATCGTCTAATGCCCAATATGATGATCCTGACATTTTAGATAGATTGAGGGTCAAAATGATGCCACATAATACTGGAGACAGAGGGTGGGATGTGTTTTCTTTAGATTATGATGCAAGAATCCCGTTAAATACTGTATTTACGGAATCTGTAATGGCGAAGTATCTAAGAATCTTCAATTTTCTGTGGAAGCTTAGAAGGGTAGAGCATGCGCTTATCGGTGCCTGGAAGACGATGAAACCAAACTTGATTACTTCTCATTTCTTCACCAAACTTCCAAAGGCTGTTAAGTTTCGGCTAATCTTGACATCACGGAAATGCCAAGTTCTTTGGAATGAAATGAGTCATTTTTTTACTAACTTACAATACTATATCATGTTCGAAGTCTTGGAGGTTTCATGGGCTAATTTCTCTGATGAAATGGAAGCAGCTAAAGATCTTGATGACCTACTTGCAGCTCATGATAAGTATCTTCACTCCATTGTCGAGAAATCACTTCTTGGTGAACGTTCTCAAGCTCTGTATAAAACCCTGTTTATGTTGTTTGACCTTATATTACGGTTCCGTAGTCATGCTGATCGTCTTTATGAAGGAATTTATGAGTTTCAAGCAAGGTATTCATCTTTCTTTGCCTTCATAGCTTCTTCTCACTAAATAAGTACTAGGAAAATGTTGATTTATATTGTTCGATTGACTGACATTTGCAGAACCATGGAAGATAAGACCGATTTACCGAAGCATTCTAAAAGCAAAAGCGCAGATTCTGATTCGTGGCTTAGTGAAGGCAGGAAAGCCATAACACAACGTGCGGGTGAATTTCTTCGAAATATGGGACAAGATATAGATGCAGTTTCAAACGAATACTCATCACTTTTCAAGGGATTCATTTCTGAATTGCCTGTGCAACAACATATTGACATGAAGTTCCTCATGTTTCGGCTCGACTTCACTGAATTTTATGGCTCTGCATCTTAACTCTGGCAGAATGCTGTTGAAACAGCTTCCACGAAGAATCAACTTAACGTTTTACTCATGGAGGCGAGGCCCTATCAATCAAATGGCCGGCATGCATACTCGCAGCATCTATAAAACTCCAGTTGATGTAGCCTTCTGTATATCATTTCTTGTTCTTAGGTATCAAATAACCTATCTCTCATTTAATCCAATTTTCATTCGAACATTACATAACCAAACCAAACCAAACCAAACAATTCCGTGAAGGCCCTGGCTTGTGAGAATGACTTGAACATAGGATCAACCTCATTAAACCTATTGGTTTGACATTTATGTTCATCTTTTTCTTTTCAGATTGGATTTAGTTCACGGGATAATGGTCTCCACAAGAGCAATGTTGCAGTTGAATTGAAGGTATGCTGTTGTCCTCGACTGTTATGTCAAGAATGGACTCTATTAGTATTTTGTTTGAAAGCCAGCAAGATGGTTGTAGATGTGTACCATAGTTTTGTATTGGCTTTGATTAAGAGTGATGGGTGCTGTTTGTGTGCTTTGAGTTCTTCACCAATATTTTGTCTTCAAAACTAATGTCAATAGTTTGGTATGTGTTTCCCAATCTCCAGTTCAAATGCAGTTCTACAATCATTCACTTTATCCATCCTCTGTGATTGGATCGCATTATGCTACTTCATTTTGCCAAATCTGTATGCATTACATATGAAGGGAGTTAGAGAGGATTAAGTTGGGAGAGTTGGGGGGAGGACTCTGCTTTTTACTACTTCTCTGTGTTTGCTTTCTTGATGCTAGTCTGTATTCTTCTCACACTTTTGCACAAGTCCGGGGTGTTCATGGAAAAAGACGCTCTTACCCTTTGGGATGGTGGACACGTTTGCCTACATCTCATCCCTCCTAGACCCTACCTCACAGAGGGATATGTTGTTGGGTTTGGATATGAACCATTCTCTCCGCCCCCTTCTGTTTTACATTTTTGTTTGACATGAACTTAATGTTGAGTTTTTAGTCGTAGGAATATGCCTTGTTCTCAGAGTTTGTGACATTGGAGCCAAAGTTTGATTGGTTCGGACAGCAGCTTGATGCTTAGCAAGCTGACAAGCTTCATTATCTGTTTGGGTGGCCGTTTGCTGCGTGCGGTTAAGGGTTTTGTGTGCAGTTTCAATGAGAGAGATTATAGGTTAAAACTCATTGTGGGGGCTTATGTTTTGTAGTATACTGTCATAGATTGTGGATTACTGTTGGGATTTCTGTTTTAGCAAAGGAACTGAAATTTGTTTGTTTGGGAAGACCATTCAGTTGTAGGAAATGTAAGATCTGAAAATGGAAAATTGCCTTTGTCAATTCTTTAATTTTGTTGTCCACGCGGCATTGGCCTAACAGGTAAGAATGTGATTAGAGCAAGTGGGAGGAGGTCTAGGGTTTGACTCTAGGAATCACACACTTGCATTTGAGAACAAGGCATATTCCTACGACTAAAAACTCTAGACGGTGTTTATTACCGGTGTCACACTGGAATAAGTGCTTATTACCGGTCACACCGGAATAAGTCAATATGTTGTTTTTATAAGCAATTCCAAACACCGTCTAAAATGCAAAAAATTGGGATTCTATGCTTGACTTTGAGTTTTGACGGTGTTTTGATTTTTGTATGAATAAACCATTAACTCTAACATCTATATTTATACTTGGAGCAAAATGGTTAAAAGAACAAAAAGGGTCATATGACTATTTGGTGAATAACATTAAAAAAAGAACAATAACCAAGCCATGGTGAACCAGTTCCTTAACCGATCCAGCTTCAAAAATTGTAACATAATTACCGGGCCCGGACCTTTCGTAACCGGTTCTGGTCACAGTTGCCCAAGCACTTTGATCCTTTTGTAACAATTCAAGAAAGTGTATGGAAAGACCCTTTGATCCATCCCCTCTGCAATACAACATTAAGATGGGGTGGGGGTGGGGCTGAGGGTGTTCTTAGGAGCACTTATCCAAGGGCTACCTGCAATTGCAAACCTCCATAATGCACCAACATCTTCAGGCAATGCATATTCTATCCCAACCCGTCTCCCTACTACGATTTCCTGCACTTCCGGACCATCCAACACTTCCAGACCACCTACAACACCAAATAAACCTTGAGAGTCAGCTCAACCAGCAAGCAAATAAAGGCTACGCTTTGGGGATCCTTCAATAGGTCAAGACTCCTATGTTGTGTTCTTGAAACCTTTATTACGAAGGAAAGGGAGGGAAAGAGGAGGGAAGTAAATAGAACTCGTGTTGTCGAAATATTTGTAGGAGAGAAAAAATCATTTTCCTTCCGTTTCTTTTCTTTTCTCTGCAAATTCGAGAACACAACGCCAATGATTTTTTCCTTACCATTAAATTTAATGGACCCATGGGAATAGTAGAGATGCGCACAAACTGGCGTACAAACTGGCGCGCACACCCACAGTTACTAAAACAAACAAAAATGCAAAAGAAACCAAAATTATGTATGTATGATGAGTTGTTACCAGGAGTGAAGAGAGCATGACCAGACCAATCTGTTGAAATCCCTAGGGCTTGACCCACCTTATATATTCCATGGAGAAATAATTGTTAGATTTCAGAACATAATCTATCTGCCATGAAAATGAGGAGACTGACCTTGCCAGGCCCAGTAAGAAGAACCGGCTTCTCCGTATCCAAACCCCGGCGCGCTTTTATGGTTTCCAACCCTGAAACTCACTCCAAAATCATATCATTCGAATTCAAAGTTCCGTTGAAAATTAACTAGTCTCTTTCTGTTTTGCATAAAGGGTATCTTACCGGTCTCACGACCATCATAAAGGAGGTAAATCGTGAGGTGATGGTGACTACTAACAAAAAATGGTTCTCATGGATTTAATTAAAAACTCATCTGAGGTATTAATCAGAAGTATAAAATATCCTTCAAGAATGACAAAAACAGGAATCTTGTAAACTGAAAACAAAATAACATCAGTAATTTATAATGATGATAATGAGCAAATATGTTATTTTTGGTTTTAACTTGTAAATATGTTAAGGTTGCATGCAATCACATGTGATTTCAGTGTAAAATCACATATGATGTAGGTGTTCTCATGTCTTCTTATTTGAACCTTGTTCTCGTTTGAACCCCTCTCTCTCTCTATATATATATAAATATATATATATATATATGTATATATATATATATTATAATAATAAAAGATTACCGGTGACAGGAGCACAAGAACGAATCAAGACAGCCGATCCAATTCCTTCTTTGTCAGCCACAACATTGAGCATGGTATGCAGACCGTAGCAAAGATAAACATAAGCATGTCCTCCTGCTCCAAACTACTTAGCAACACGAACAAACGACATTTAAGAGCTTATCAATTATTTCCTTATGTTTCCCATGCCAATGGGCACTAATTCACATATCATTCGACATAACTCAGTCAGACCAATGTAGATCATAAGGACCAACATCTGGTCAAAGCAGTCCAAAAAAAGCCCAGACCAACTCCAGTCTGGTAGGGTAAGGACCAATTTAGGACTTAAGAACCGTTTTTCTTTTGTCCATATCTATATGCATCTATGACCAATCTATGACCATTTTACCCTTTTTTACGGTAAAATGGAAGGTTCCAAATATACCCAGTATCTCCCACGTAGAAGTAGGGTCGGGGAAGTGTAGGATGTACGTAGACCTGTCAACTACCCCTAGGATTAGAGAGGCTTGTTTCATCAACCCTCATTCTTGTGATACCCAATATGTCATGAAACGATCAATCTATAGAAGCAAACTTTAGATATGGGGGACGTGATATCAAGGAACAACTTCATATCACAAATCAAAATCAACCCAACAGCATAACCATCAAATGAACAAAGGGAAACGAAGGGCAAAAGAATGCTTGATATGATCTTACAAGGGGAGCAGTTCTTGCAGTAACGCCAACTCGACCATGACAAGCTGAATCATTAGATCTATAAGCTTCTACCTGCCATTGCCAAGTTCACATTTACCGATCACTATTTGGATAGCCATAATTCATAAAGAAACTGAAAAAAGGACCAAAGTTTTTTCATATTTGCTTTCGCCAATGAGGAATTCCTTTGGTGATTTGGCTGGTAATTTTGTGCAAATATGAAAAAACTTGGGTCATCCTAAACAGATGCTAATACTTTGATTAATTTAAGCCCTAATTGATTTACTAATTTAGTACTTTGATGAGCGCATCAAACATTGATTATAGAGCAAAAAAGAAATTTAAGAACAATAAGTAAAATCCTAGTTTCTACCTCTGTGATCTGCAGAACGACATCATCTCTCTTAAGGTACTTGCCAAGCAATCGAGGTGCAAGATCGAGGGCGTCAATTTGGTAAAATTCAGAACCCAATATTAGGGGTTTCTCCAGCAACAATGTGGGTTTTGATTCTAATGAACGAAGATGGGACTGGGACTGGGATTTTTGCTTGATTGTTCTAGGTTTTGTTTTTGATTTCTGCTTCAAATTTGGTTTGATCTTAGTGATTAGAGGTTTCGGATCATTCAAGGGTTCAACGACTCGATTGAACCGTTTTGTGATTTTCATTTTGGCAAAACAAATTTAGGGTTTCGGATTGATTTTGCAGCGGCAGTGATAACGACGAAGGGTTTTGGCGGGGGTTTCAACGTTTGTTATAACATTCTTCCGTCGAACATGCTCTTATGTTTGGGATTGCTTATAAAATAATTTATTGACTTATTCTAATGTAATATCGATAATAAGTATTTTTGAGTATTTGAATAAACAATTTATACCGATGTCAAACCGGTAAAAGGAGTTTTTGAAAAAATTAAACCCTTCTGACTTATAATAAATTAATAAGTGCTTATGTTGAAAAATATAAGTTATTTCAAATAAGTAATCCCAAATAAGTGTGTTTGTTTTTTTTTTCTTCAATTAAGAGCTTAAAAGCTCTAATTAGATCTGAATCTTTTAGAGAAAAACTAAACTCTTAATTTCTCTTCTTTTGAAAAACGTTGCCTACCTCTGGTCATGTCTCTCGATCTCTCTCTTCAAGCTCTCGCCTACCTCTGGTCGTGTCTCTGAATCAACTACTGTCTTCAAGCTCTCAATCTCTCGATTTAAGGTATCCATCTTGATTTCAATTCTTGTTTGATTTCTGTTTTGATTCTCGATCTATTTCAAAATGTGGTGGTGTATGATTTCTGTTTTGATTACGAGATTTCATACATTGTGTATGAAATAATCACTCTCAAAGGACATAAATTGATATCTCTTTCCGGCTTTCAAATGAAGCACCTTCATTTGATCCTACATTCTTGTGATTCTTTTCTGTAGGCATGTTAATGAATTCAATTTATTTTTTGTAAAGTGGATAAATTTTAGTTTTGGTTCTCGATCTACTTCAAATTTCTGTTTTGGTTCTTAACCTACTGTATTACTTGAATCAAAACAGAAAAACTAAAAATGGATTTACTGTTTTGGTTCTTGATCTACTGTCTTGTTGTTTCCTACTTAGGATGTAACAAGTTTGGATCAATTGCCTTTATCCAGCACCACATTGAATGTCACAGCAAACGCACAGTTGTAAATGAACCGAAATTCAAACCATTACGGATATACAATACAAGTATTCCATCAAATAGGTTTTACTGTGAGCTCCATAGCACTAAATAAAAAGAGATAAAAGTCATAAAGTACTTTATATAAAATAGAAAACGTATGTAATTGAAAAGAGAGATTATTTTCAATAATGAAATCAAATACGTTACAATTTTATATGATTTTTTATTTGAAAAAAGTAATTGAAATTGCTAAAATAGAAATGATTGAAGTTATAAAACTTTCATTTTAAAGACTATAAGGGATTGTTTAACAGCTGCTGAATGATTTTGTGCAACATAATTAAGCGACTTTCATGATACAATACAAAATAAAATATAATTGTTTAGTAATTATTTACAACGAAATTAAAACTCTAAACGGTTAATGAAGACCCAAAATACAAAATCATTAAAAGGGTTTTAAAACCATTAAGAAACATACCTCTTTTTTTGACAAACAAAATTCATCTCTTAACGATTCAAAAACTGTCTTTTAATAAAACTATTAAGAAATAAACAAACAACCCTATCTTTAAAAACAATTGAAACCATACACTATTGATTTTAAAAGGCTGACCCTGCAACCTGTTCATTACACTACACATATTAGAATTGGGCTTGCTTTCTCAATTTTGAAGAAAGTATAAAATTGCCCAAAATACCAAGACTTCCTACACTTTTCTCCACCTCTATAATCTACATTTTAGAAATGCTCTTAAAATTTAGCATCCAGTGCTTGGATTTCAAAACAGAAGTGAAACAAAGACCACAACACATTTCAAGATTTGACGAGAAAATCGACTATTCGAACCAGAACGTGTAAAACGTACGTTCGAGTTTAGACAGACAACCAATTCGACAAACAGATGAATCGACCCACCAATATTCAGGATCTTTCAACATAAATCAGATTTATTACCATACTTCTACATTTCAGGAAATACAATCGCAACCGTTTCAAACACCAAACCCAAAAACCGCCCTTATCTTGTGAAAGATTAGATCCCGCCATCCTCTCTCTGTGTTCTCCACAACAGTTGAATTCCCGTACCTGCATCACACAAAACCAAATTATGTACAGGATGCACATCACGAAGAATACTAAAAACCGGATACAAAATCTCTAGCAACTAAAAACAAACCTGTCTTCCTCCGGAACATCGGTCTGCGTCAACTTCACAACTGTAACTCCAGGCTCGGGCTCTTCTAAAACTAATCTCACCTGCATAATCACCAACACCCGACCATTTTGGTCATTCAAGGTTTTTTCATCTTCTATAACATGTTAGAAAAATAAGATGTCATATGCTAAGAGACCTCGCAAAATAAATATCCAGCCCAGCCCAGAATATTCCACCCAATGTAAGATATGATCAGACCTAACATCCACCCCAAATAGTAGAACCGTTTCAAATAATAGAATCTAAAGAACTAAATCCCACATTATTGATGAAACTTTGGCAATTAAGATGGAGTTGGTTTAACAAATCATCTAATGTCTTGGAAGAATAGTACACCAAGAAGACTAATTATGTATAGAACCCTATTTTACAATGCAAACATGGGACATATAACACCCTTGAATGCACGTATAGACATGCAAACAGAGCAGAAGTTAACCATCAACCTTTTCTTTCCTTTGTTCTTGTTTTACGGTTGCCATGTAGGGTTTGCAAACTACAATTATGGTACTGGAAAGATCAACAGGCAGGTGCCATTACCATTAGCCTTTCATACAATACAAAAGG